TTTATTGAAGTCTAAATGGATAGTTGTGGAAGAAAAAGAGAATCTTCAAAGCTGTTATTATTTTCCATATTCTCCAGAATATGAAATTTTGGATTCAATTTTGAGAGCAGATTGCAGGGAAGAAGTGGATGGTTTCTGTGGATGTTTTGATTATCTCGCTAGAAACTCAGATAGAGTGGCCAGAAGGAAGGGGTCACTCCTGTGTGGTTGGTGACCTGGCCTCTTGAAATGATACTAGATTGGGGTTTGAGAGCCCACTATCTTGTAGGAGGATTTAGAGGTACTAGGAATATCCATTTTTAAAATTCTTAATAAATTCTTTGTATTTCTTTACACTTCTGTTATCCCAATAGTTTGGTAATTTTTTTCTAAAATTAGTAGCCTGGTGTCCTTTAGGATGACAAAGTATGAGAGAGAGACAGTATGACAGCAGAATAGAGAATTAGTAGGGTAGAGGGGGGATAGATAATCATCAGGCTGCATAAAATACAAATGCATTTGTTGGGAGTTTTCAAACACAGGCAGGGGTAAGGATTGGCTTTCTCTGATTAAATATAATAAAGGCAATTTGGGTATAGAAAATACATGGTCCCTAAAAGCTGTACAAATGGGAAATGAGGGGCATATATGATTAAACAGACAAGTTATTTAAATTGAAGTGAATTTGTTTCAAAAAAAAAGGGTCATTACATAAGTGAATAAATAGCTAGTGTACAGTTACTTAACATTTAATAAATATGTCCTTTTTATTGAGCTTATTTATTTATTTATTTATTTTTCCCATCACCTTTTATTTCCTCTATGCCCTTTTCCACCTCCCCCCAACTCCCTTCCCCACCCCAAAATAAATATCATGTTGAGTTTGGGTATATTCATTTACATGAAAAATACATCTTAATCACAAATAATATTATTCCTGAGACATAATTACATGCAGCATAATAAGTAAGCATTCTATGATTAATTGCTTAAAAGATTCAGTTTGAAGAGAATGAGACTAAAGTATACCCCTCAGGGCTTAAGGCTTTAGGACACCAAGGCTGTGCTGATAAAAACACAGCTAAGTGATTAATCAATACATTAATTAGATTAATGCAGCCACTCAACCTGGATAATATGGGGGAAGCCTGTTAATTTTCTTCAACAGCAATTTTTTTTGTCTGTAATTGTTTTTTAATCATTCAAATAATTGAATTAGTTTTCGTTTTGCTGATCTGAATGGCTTTTCTTGACTTATTTAATTTTTTTCCTGTAAGTAAAATATTTAATTTCTAGAGATTTTCTACCATGCCCTGTGTTTGTTGGTGATCATCCAAAAAGAGGCAATTTTCCCCATTAGCTGTGTCTCTTTTAAATTATCTAATGTTTTTTCCTTTCTTTATCTTATTAGTATAAGTTCTATGATAACCAAGCATAGATTGTGACCTTGAATCCTACTTTATCTCCTCCATAAAATTTTTATTTAGTTTGCCTTCAGTTTCTTCAATTAAGTATATCTCTATCAACATTAGCTGTGACTAGGACAAATGGTGGATAACAGTGTTATTTTAACTAAGTATGAAGCAGATAATGGCAACCCCAGGAAAGCTGTCTTTTCCTCTTCCTTGCAAGTCCAACAGAAGGACAAATGATGTTATTAGACTGAGAGTTATACCCATAGTAGAAGCAGTCCAGAGTTGTTCCCCAACTTCAGGTAAGTGGGTCATTATGAGAGTCATTTGTTGCTATAATGAAAATGAATCATGTGCTTAAATAACACTAAATGAAAATGAGACATTTATGTAGGAACCCTTTAGATTTTGGTGAAATATATCACTTACTGTGAAGAGATTATATATATTTCTGACAATTCAATCATACAGAAGTTTCAGAAAAAAAGAGTTGCTGTTCTAGCTGAGTAAATGTATTAGACTGGAGAAAATAACCCCACACCTAACAGTATTTGATTCCCATCTGTCTTTTATTTGCATGGAAATGGAGAGAGCAATATTAAGAAAAGGTGAGGCCAGATGGTGTTGCTCAGTGCTTGAGTGTTGATCCATGAATCAGGAGGTTGTGGTTTGATTCCTGCAGCCAATCAGTGATTCTCTCTCATCATTGATGTTTCTATCTTTCTCTCCCCTTCGCATCCTCTCCCTGAAATCAATAAAATCAATGGCGTTTTTTTAAAGGAAGAGGTGGGAACTCAACTTTCCCCCTATGTTCATAAAGCTCTTATAAGACAAATTTCCCCCAAATGGCAAAAAAAGTGGCTTATAGAGGAAAATCATTTTTGATGGTAAGATATAGATATGTTTAGACATTCACATATATAACTGTTTTAATATATATAATTTTTGCTCAAATCCTATTTTATTTTCTCTGCAGTCTATATGATTTTAGACCTATCTCTATGTTTGTACTATATTAGATTCTTGAGGAAATGTTATTTGTTTTTTTTTTTTACTAAAAATTATGGTTTTCTAACTTCTATAATTTTCTTACAAAATCAAACTGTAGTTCAATACATCCAGCTAACTCCCATTGTTTGTTAAAAGGTAAAAAGGGGATACAAGGAATATATAGGCTTTGCAGAAACAGTTTGAATATCAAACTAAAGCCACAGAAAAAAAAATTAAGTGAATCCCTCATCAGATTTTAGATTGCGAGGGGTATGCAAAGGACTTTGCTCAGTCTCTTTATTTTACCAGTCCAGAAGCTCACAGATCTAAAATACTTGTTCTGGCTGTTGGATCAGAGCTACAGGGTGATGGGAGAGGCTTAGCTGTGGAAGAGTGAAACACGACAGAACATATTATAGGTTAAACTTCAACCTGAACATGTGGTTAATGAGGAGAACCTCCTCCCCAGGTTCGAAATGGGGAGTGGGGTCACCCCTCCTTTCCCTTCAGTTACTTCTATGTTCAGTTGTCCAAGCCAAAGCCAGTGGTGTGTGATCAGCCTACCCCTGGCCACCTGCCTCTTTAACCACTGCTGTACTACGCCTTATATAGCAGGGCTTGGACAAAGAGGCTGTTTTATCATTTTTCTTCTCTGCCTGTCACCTGTGCCTTAGCCTTTTCTTCCCTTTGATCGGCGGGCCTGGTGACCTCCTGGTCCCAGCCCACCACTTCATTACTAGAGAAGTCTGTAAGCTGAGTCCTACAGATTTAACCCTTCATGTATTAAACATAATGAAATAAACTATAAACTCTTCTCTTAAGGAAGTGTCCTTGTTTCCAGGACCATTGCTTGACCACAACATCCTACTTTGAATGCCAAACGTGAAATATAACTTCATTTCTTACTCTAAATGTTCCCCAGAAACCTAATGTAGCCCAGAAAGATGGATGCTTTAGATGGAAGGTCAAGGATACAGTACAGAAAGCACACTGACAATCTTCAAAATAGAATTCTGACCGCATTTATTTGGTAAGTAAACAAGTAATCCAGGGGGAAAAATCACTAGGGAGCGATTTTTAACCTAATGCATTATTGCTGGTAGTTACTAAATTGGGACAAAAACCAAGCAGAATCTCAAAATACTGTCAATCAGAAGTTCCAGTATTCTCACTGAGGATACAGTTGAACAGCGATTACTTTGCTACTGGAGTTATATCTATGATATCCCAGAAAAATTCAGATTCTAATAGATTTGAAATGTGGATTGGGTATCTGGGGAGAATGAGAGTTGTCTTTCTACCGCAGAAGCGGCAGAATCATGTACAGACAGCCAAGACATTACTAAAAGGGATCGGTCATTCGGAGGAGACGAATGATTTCCCCCAGGCTGTCATTCTGTGAGTCTATCATTTTTATGACACAGGATGGAGACAAATTGCAAGAGAAAATTTGCTTAGAATGAAAAGTCAAAGGCTAGCAACTACTCAAGGTAGTCCTAGTCTTGGCCTCTTCCCTTCCCAGCCTTTTAGCAATTGTAAGTAATCAAAGGCATGTAAAGGCTTCTGTTATGCTGTAATTATTTTCCTAGACTGTGTGCTTTTCATTGTAGAAAGAAACTTAACTTGCTTGATCTTCGGACTGAACCCAGTAACCAATATCTAAATATAAATGAACGTTAGGGAGAGGAAAAAAAAAAGGCTTACTATGTGAGGATCAGGCACCTTGTAGAGGTTTATCTTTTAGTGTTTAAGTTCCTTGGACCCCCTAGAATGCCATAAAGTGTAATTGTGCTTTGAATAATTCTAGTGATTTTAAGACTAGAGCTTGTAGGATTTTTCGGTATATTTTTAAGTATTTCTAATCTTTATGAAAAAATGCTTCTAACATTTTTTCATTTAATATCCATTTATGCACTTGTTCCAAACTTTGAATGTGATCAAGGCTATTAAAGGGGTAAGTATTTCCATTGGAACGACTTACGATTTTGTCCTGGTTATAGGTTTCAGTGTGAGACTATAAAGGGAAAACGTTAATGTTTACCAGTGTATATGGTCCTTTGTTTTTATGTACTTTTAATAGACTGGGAATAATGGCAATAATCCTAATGGCACCTGGGTAAGAAACATATCCATGTATAAGTTCTTTTTCTTTTTAAAATATATGTTTATTGATTTCAGCAAGAAAGGGAGAGGCAGAGAGGGATAGAAACAACAATGGTAAGAGAGGATCATTGATTGGCTGCCTCCTGGACACACCCCACTGGGTTAGAGCCCTGAACCCAGGCATGTGCCCTGACCAGGAATCAAACTAGTGACCTCTTGGTTCATGGATCGACAGTCAACCACTGGGCCACACCAGCTGGGCTATTTCTTCTATGTTTTAGAAAATAAAAAATAAAAACCTTAAAAGGTTACAAGTGATATGAAGCACCTACAATGTGGTGGCACAAAGCTAGGTGCTAAGCACACAAAGGCTTAGGGAGAATCTTGTTTCCTCATGGGCTGATGGATTCAGGTTCGTAGTCACTGGTGGACTTTCTGGTGCTGCTTCAAGTGATCTAATCGTGCAAAACGCCTGTCGCACAGAGTACACAGGTAGGGTTGCTCCCCACTGTGCTTTTAGTTGTGTCTCTTGAGCCCATCTGAATGGGCGAATTCCCATGTGCATCCCTTCACATTGCATTTGTAGGGCCTCTCTCCTGTGTGTTTGCGGTTATGGATTTGGAGATAGGATTCCTTTGAATATGATTTCTTAGAGTCCGGGTATGTGCAAATGTAGGGCATTAAAATGTCAAGATTCTTCTTGAACTGATGTCTTGGGGCTTTGAGTTTTGACTTGCGCTCTTCTAGGGATTGTCCTTGGGTCAAATGGGAACTTGAACAGTACAGGAATCCTAGGTGTGGCAATGATGGCGATTGACATGACATCATATGGCTTCCATGGAGAGTGTGGTCATCAGTGAAGGCTCTCATCTGGCCCCCCTTAAGCGTCCCCATCTGACCCCCATAGAGAGTCTTGTCACTGCTGTATGTTACCACCTGGCCCCCAGTGAAGGTATGGTTCCCAATGAAGGTCTCTGGATAGCCCTGTTTAAGAGCTGTCATCTCGCCTCCATAATGGGTCTGGTCCCCACTGAAGGTCATCTGGCTTCCAAAATGGGTCTGGTCCCCACTGAAGGTCATCTGGCCTCCATTATGGGTCTGGTCCCCACTGAAGGTCATCTGACCTCCATAACGGGTCTGGTCCCCACCAAAGGTCATCTGGCCTCCATAAGGGTCTGGTCCCCACCGAAGGTCATCTGGCCTCCATAGACAGTCTGTTCATCACTGAGGGTCTCCTTCTGGCTACCTTCTTTGGAGATTGTCATGTTTTTTGCAGTGATGGTTGTGCTTTGATAATCAGTGAACAATGTCTTTGAGTTGTCAGTCACACCTGTCATCCAGGAGGTTGCTGTGGGTTTTCTGTGATCAAAGGAGGTCACCTTCTGGTCCATGGAGACAGTCTCATTTAGTTCTTCAGGGGGCTTATTGAAGGCATTAACAGGGAGAGTTATTGAGTTTTGGTCAAGGACTGTCCCAGGGATATTGGAACATGAAGAAACCATCATTGTGGGCCTCGAAGGAGCCATCACCTGGTTCTGAATGGACGCATGTTGGCTCTCGTCACCACGGGCAGTCAGAGGCATGCAGATCTGTGGCTCCAGTGCAGCTGGAGTTGTTGACTCAAGCGTCTCACAGAATTCCTGGAGGAACTCCTCAATTTCCTGATATAAAGGGTTAGTATCTTGGCAGTTGCCGGATAACTGAACTGGATCTTCAGCTGTGGGTTCCATCAGTTCATCGAGCGCGCGGTCAGGAGCCACTGTGTCTGGAGGTAATAAGGTCGGCTGGCATGTGGTTGTTTGGTGCAGGACCTGACACTTAGTTGTATAAGTTTTTTTATTACATTATATTGAAGATTGATTATCAAAAAAATCATTATTTTTGACAATAAATCTTCCCATAATAGAACTGAAAAGAAATAAGACATTTTCCTTTTTTTTAATTATATGATTACACACCATTGATCAATGTTGTTTTCTGACCCTATAATGTGTGTGTTTCCCAGGATTTTAGCTGTAATGTGTTTAGCTTAGAATTAAAGACATTTTGAAGTAGTATTCATTTGATGTACCTAAGTTTTACAAACAACGATTAGTTCTTTTTTACTTACGTATGCAAAAGGTAATATAATAAAGATGATCTGGAAAATTTCCATAAAAGTAGGAACTGCACATACATGAAAGCATCTTCATGGGTATCTTATGATGAAGAGTTCAAATTACAAGGCTAGCCCTTCTCAATCTTTCAAAGAACAGGTTTTTCTCAGCTAGCATTCCATGAACATCTTTTAGATATAAAAATGTTAAGAGAAGTTAAAAACTTTGAACCTAGATACTAATTAGTTCAATGCATATTTATTGAGCACCTACTATGTTCTAGTCTCTAGCCTAGAGAGACAGCAGGAAAACTGAAACAGGCAATCGATCTGGAAGTAAGAGCTCAGTTCTGGGCACCTGCATGGGACCATGTCACTCAGGACAGAAAAGTCAAGGATATTAAAATGCCCGTTTCCTGTGCTCTGTCTGGATCTATAGGGTCTCTCACTTTTTTTTTATTTTTTACTTCTAAAATGTAAATAAGACACAGATACAGAAGAAAAAGTAAAACAAACATAAAGCTCCATGAATTATCATAAGACCAACATCCTCATATCTAACATTCATACCAAGAAACATAACTATGCCCCTAAAACATAACTAGACCCCAAAACTATGCCCAAACACCTCGCTTTCTCTTTTATTTCACTTACTCTTTTTGTTAGATATGACAAAGGTCTCAAGGTCTAGACCAGCGGTTCTCAACCTGTAGGTCACGACCCCTTTGGGGGTCGAACGACCCTTTCACAGGGGTCGCCTAAGACCATCGGAAAACACATATATAATTACATATTGTTTTTGTGATTAATCACTATGCTTTAATTATGTTCAACTTGTAACAATGAAATTGGGGGTCACCACAACATGAGGAACTGTATTAAAGGGTCGCGGCATTAGGAAGGTTGAGAACCACCGGTAGGCAGTTCTTACTAAATGCATTCTTGCTAAATGTTAAAATTTAGCACAGTGTTTTGCAGATGCAGCTGTAAACAGGGTGAGCTTGACAGAGAGTCAGCTGATAAGTGTAGCCAACAGCACAGAAGAAATCAATGAGTAATTAGCCAAATAGTATATATAAGCAATGGCTAAGCCTCCCTTCAGGGTGACAGAGCTTGAGTGTGAATCCCCTGTCTCTTTTACTAGCTGCAAGAAAGTAAAACTACCTTGCAGCAATCACATGTCCTTCTTCTATAGAGCACCCCAAAGCAGCAAACCCCTTGAGTTTGGTAATATTTTTGCTTACATTACTAAAGTATTTATTTTGGTGATTGTTTTTTCCCCTCTAAAATCCAATAATTTTGCTAGTTATGTCTTGGCGTTAGTCGTTCTGAGTCAATATTAACCGGTATGAATAGAATATGTACTTTCAATGTCTTTGTGTTAATTTCAGGGAAGTATTCTTCAATTATAATTTTGTATTTTTGCTCTTGCTTTAATTTTCCTCTTCAGGTACCTCCATTACCCATATTTTAAATCTGTGTGTATGTATCTTCAATATTTTTCTCATTTCCTTCATTTTCATCTATTTATTTCATTTTAACTATTAATATTTTGTGACTTTTTATGGTTTTACTTCTCTGAAGTCATTACCTATTGCAGTGATGGCGAACCTATGACACGAGTGTCAGAGGTACATGCGAACTCATTATTTTGGTTGATTTTTCTTTGTTAAATGGCATTTAAATATATAAAATAAATATCAAAAATATAAGTCGTTGTTTTACTGTGGTTTCAAATATCAAAAAAATTCTATATGTGACACGGCACCAGAGTTAAGTTAGGGTTTTTCAAAATGCTGACACGCCGAGCTCAGAAGGTTCGCCATCACTGACCTATTGTGTTCATTTGCCTTTGCATTCTTTCTAATTTATTCTTCCTTTCTGTGTTGTTTCCTTCATTTGTAATTATTTTCTGAGTTTTGTTATCTTATTTCTGAGTTTTTAAATTTTGATTAATGAAATTCCCTTATGCCTTGTATCATTTATTAAAGTCTTCCGGTTCATTTTAAAAAATATTTGTGTGTGTTTTTTTTTTTAACAACTTTCTTATTTTTTTCTTATAACAATTTTGCATGGGATTTGACTTCTGTCATTTTTGTTGCTTATTTTGTGTGTGTTTGTAAAATTTGTTCCCTCCAGCTTTAGAGAGAAGCATTATTTATAATAGTTTTCTGAGATTTCCTGGTTCTATGTCATTTTTACCTTTCTACTTTCATCTGTATCTTCTCTTCCTTCCTCTCTATTGTCTTCTTTTAAAATTTATCTTTATTGTTGAAAGTATTATAGATGTTCCCATTTTCCCAAATTAACCCCATTTTCCGCACCCCATCCTCCTCACAGGCCTTCACCAAACTATTGTCAGTGTCCATGGGTTATGCATATATGCACATAAGTTATTTGGTTAATTCTGTTTTATAAATCATATTCCCAGAATTTTTGGTTGTTGTTAATTCTCACTCAAGGATGTTTTTTCCATTGATATTTAGAGAGTCAGAGGGAGGGAGGCAGGTTTTAGATCTGCACGCCTAGAGGACCATCCCAACAAACGTTGTGAGAGTTTAAGAAATTTTATTACTGCCCTAACCGTTTTGGCTCAGCGGATAGAGCATCGGCCTGAAGGTTTGATTCCAGTCAAGGGCATGTACCTTGGTTGCGGGCACATCCCCAGTGTGGGGTGTGCAGGAGGCAGCTGATCGATGTTTCTCTCTCACAATGTTTCTAATTATCCCTCTCCTTTTATCTCTGTAAAAAATCAATATAATATATTTTAAAAAAAGAAATTTTATTACATTCTCTCATAGTGAGCTGAGACCAGTGTGTCAGTGTCAGCCTAGGCGGTGGTTAGGTTCTCTTATATGGGGTAAAAGTATGCTATATAGGGTCAGGATGTGGGTGCAAGAGTCAGTCAAGGAAGTCAAGAGAGGAGAGTGCAGACGTGGGTCAGATGAAGGGGAGTTCTTCTTATCCTGCTTCTGCAGCTGCCAGCCCTCTACCCCAAGCTATGGAAAAAGGCTTATCTATAATAATAAAAGCATAATATGCTAATTAGACCAGACATCTTTCTGACTACCTTCTGGATGAAGCTGGTGCTGCAAGGGAAGCCCAGGTCCCGGATGCCAGAGGGAAGCCGGTGATGGCAGCTGGGGGAAGGAAGGCCTACTCTTTCACAAATTTCATGCAATGGGCCTCTAGTCCTATATAATAAAAGGCTAATATGAAAATCCTCCGAATGGCAGAATGACTGGTCACTATGATGTGCACTGACTACCAGGGGACAGACCCTCAATGCAGGAGCTGCTCCCTGGTGGTCCGTGTGCTCCCACAAGAGGAATGCCACTCAGCCAGAAGCCAGGCTCATGGCTGGCGAGCACAGTGGCGGTGGTGGGAGCCTCTCCCACCTCTGCGGCAGTGCTAAGGATGTCTGACTGAGGGAACGGGCCTAAGCCATCAGTCAGACATCCCCCGAGGGTTTCTAGATTGTGAGAGGGTGCAGGCCGGTCTGAGGGACCCCCCGCCCCACCTCCAGAGTGCATGAATTTTGTACACTGGGCCTCTAGTAACAATATATATTTTACAAAACATACCCAAGCAGGAGAGATTAAGGGTAGTTCACTGTAACAGAAGGGAGGGAAGAGAGAGAGAGAGAAAGAGATCAATTGGTTGCTTCCTGCATGTGCAAGGACTGGGTCTAGGGATCAAACCTATAACCTAGGTTACATGCCCTTGACAGGGAATCAAACCCAAGACCCTTTGGTGCATGGGCAGGGCCGTTGCTTGAATCACTAAGCAAAATTTCTTTCCATTGTCCATCCCTGTTCAGAAAGGGAGCTTTGCTGGTCAGTTTTGAGTTCGTAGCATCTAGACTGTTCTAGCTTTCCCACTTTGCAGAAAACCCCTTATATAAGCTATTGGACTTATCTAAGCCCCTGCCCGTTAGCCTGTTCTGCTGAGCTTTCCAGGACCCATCAGTGCCTTGGTATTATGAATGGCGTTCTCCTGGGCTTACATCCCTCACATACCTCTGCTTCTTTCCTCCTTCCCACACAGCCGCTAATACAAACGGACGTCTTGATCCTGTTGGTGAAGTTTTCTCTCCACTTGTATTTTGGAGTTCATGGAGGATATAATGTCACCTCGCTGATTGTAAATGTTGGACATTGGTTTGGGGGTTTTGCTAGTTGCTTACTCTTTACAGAGAATTATAGAGAGGTTCATAAACAATGAAATACTGTTTCCATGGTCTTTCCAGAGTCACTCACCTACCTCGTGTTTTTATTTTCCCAACTTCTTCATTCTCTGCTTTATGATAAGCCCAAAGTCATTTAAAACTCCCATTTTTATCCTTATAAATTAATCCTTCAATCCAGCATTGCAAGCTATCCTTTGAGGTCATATTCTATTGTGTTTTAAAAAATACATTCATGACTTAAAAAGAAAGAATGTATCAATTACAGATAATATGAATTCCAGATGCTTTCTTCCCACCCC